GCTTTTTCCTTTTCATGTCACTGGTGACCACATCCATCTATCACTGTGCAAGAGGCGGGATACACCCAGGATGGATGACAAGTCCATCACAAGGCTGCATAGAGCCAAACAAAACATTCAGATCATTTTATACAAATGGGACTGACAGTCCAGTGGTTAAAGGATCCTAGATAATTCCTGGAAAATGAGCAGCTAGTAGAAAGCAGCATGATTATTAAATATCTCTCTTAAAAAGTTTTTGTACTTAAAAAAGTGACAGCATTTTCTGAAAAAATGCAGTCCTGCTGGACTTCAATGAAAAAGCTGAAACTGAGTTGTTGCAGCCAATAGAAGAGCACCTAGCTAAAAGCAGCCAAATGTTAGCTAAAGGTTGCAAATGGCTAACCAAAGGTTAAGTGGCTAAAATGTGGCTAAAAGTTGCAAAAGGCTAGCAGGGAGCTGAGAGTAGTAAAATGAAGGATGATCTTCTGATGTTGTCTCTGGTTCACGAGTGGTTTGACTTGAATAATGTGACATTTGTTGCTCACGTCTAGGAGTTAATCTTCTGATTAGGTTGTGACTCCATGACTTTCTAATAATGAACCTCTTCACAATATTCTTATTTTCTGAGACACTGAATTTTGGATTTTCATTACCCGTAAGCCATAATAATCAAAATTACAAGAAATAAAGGCTTGATATAATTCACTCTGTGTAATGAATTTATATCAAATTCGAGTTTCACTTTTCTAAATGATTGACAAAAATATTTGAACTTTATCATATTCAAAATTTTAATGCACCTGTACTTTTTCAAAAAGGAGGAAATATCTGGTGTTTTGTCTCTATAGGTTTAGTTTTTTTTGTTTGTTTGTTTATTTTGTTCAAGAATTTAAAGAGATTTAAGGAAAACGTGAACTTCAATGTATCAAAATCAAACTTACTGGATGTAGTGTTCACAGTTTGCCACTAGATGTCGGACTTGTACAGAAATTGACTAGTAAACATAGATACTGATTGTTTTTCTTGAACAGATGTTTTAAATTCGTTGAAGCATGAATTTTGTTGCAGAAGTGATTGTTAGATTGATAAAGCTGAATAAAATGACACATGCACAGCATGATTTAACTCCAACTCTGATTGTCTGCATCTTAAATTTTATACAAAATGTGGCCCAGTGAGGAAGCTTTAATTGAAGCCTGACAGTCTGGTGTAATTACGCTACTCTCGATTTGTTTTAGCAACTGAATCAGCCTTACTTGTGACACATTTATGGGATTTTGAATGGAAGGTGTAAAGAAAACACTATATAAAACCTTTATTATTAATAAGATACACTGCAACCCCATCAGAGAAATACGAGATGGGAAGAGAAAGAAGATGTCATATTTGGAGGTATTGGAGGATGATGATGGAGGAGTACAGAGCAGGTCTGAAAGAACTCCATTGTGTCTTTGTGGATTTAGAAAAAACATGACAGTGTGTCGAGGTAGGAAGTGTGGTATTGCATGAGGAAATCTGGAGTGGTAGAGAAGTATGTTAGACTGGTACAGGACATGTATGAGGACAGCAGGACAGTGGTGACATGTGCTGTAGGAGTGACAGATAGCTTCAAGGTGGAGGTGGGAGTGCATCAAGGATTGGCTCTGAGCCCCTTCTTGTTTGCTCTGGTGATGGACCAACTAACAAATGAGGTCAGGCAGGATTCTCGGTGGACAATGATGTTTGCAGATGACATTGTGATCTGTGGTGAGAACAGGGAACAGGTGGAAGAGAACTTGGAGAGGTGAGTGTATGCACTTGAAAGAAGGGGAACGCAAGTCAGCTGTAGTAAGACAGTACATGTGTGCGAATGAGAGGGAGGCTGGTGGAACAGAGAGGCTACAAGGAGCAGATGTCACAAAGGTGCAGGATTTCAAGTACTTGGGGTCTACTGTCCAGGAAAATGAGGAGTGTGGTAAAGAAGTGAAAAAGAGTCCAAGCAGGATGGGGTGGATGGAGAAAAGTTTCAGGAGTGATTTGAGACAAAAGAGTGGCAGCAAAGGTCAAACTGTGTTGTATGGTCTGGAGACAGTGGTGCTGACAAAAAGACAGGAGACAGAACTGGAAGTGGCAGGAATGAAGATGTTGAGGTTCTCCTTAGGAGTGACAAGAATGAATAAGATTAGGACTGAGATCATCAGAGGTACAGCACAGGTTGAACAACTGGGAGATAAAGTTAGAGAGACCAGACTGAGATGGTTTGGACATTTCCAGAAGAGGGACAGTGGGTACAGTAGTCCAGCCCTACTTCAGGGTAATAGCGGACTTGCTCCATCGCGGCTTTTCAAAATAAAATTGGACATGACACACAATTGGCTGATTGATGGATGAGCTGCACGATCCGCATGACATTTTTAATTTAAAAATTAATCATTTGAAATTATTTAGCACCTGCTGTACCTGTGTACAGCCCACAGCTGCAGAAAAAGCTTCATCCTGCAGCTGATCAGCTGTTCACCGCCCAAAGCAAGTAGGTATCGCTGCAGGCAAATTCGGAAGGTGTATCTGGGGGGCCACATCTGATTGGACGAGGCATATCGGGGGGGGGGGGGGGGTCACATCTGATTGGACTATAGAAAAATGGGCATGTCTGGCCGGCCACATTTGATTAGATGATAGAAAAAAAAGGCTGATCGAAAAAAAAGCCATTTGTGTTAACCACAGACATATTATGTCTATGTGTTAACCAGTTCGACATTAGCGGAGTCTCCATAACTTCTCTTTCCACCTCTCAACACAGAACTTCTGGTTACATTTCAAAATAAGAGCAACATAACTGGGTAGTCAGGAGGGCTAAATGTTTGTTTTTGAATACCTAGCCATTACATTAAAAAACAAAATCAGTTTTGGTTGTTGAAAAAGTGAAAATAGTTACAATCTGT